GGGAGTTAACATGTACAATGATGCATCCACAAAGATGGAGGAAGAATATGAATAAAGCTAGCCATATATTTATTTATTTATTTTTATTTTAAGGAGTTCTTTCCTCCTTAATTTGATTATTTGAAGAGATGGAGGTTCTAACTGTTCGTGTATGCTTGCACATTTGGTCTTCTGCTTTGAAACTCACAGCACTGGTTTCAGGAAAATACTTTGCCATTAGCAGATTTGGTGATCTTGAATGGATGTGATGGTAGATTTAAAGAGGCACACTTGCCAGGCTTCAGACAAAATACAGAGAGACCTCTCCAAGATAGGAAGATAAACTAGAATAATCTTATGTAGTCTTGAAACTATTAATTGACTAAAAATGTACCATTCTGCTGGAAAATAAGACAGCACAGAACTACATTCACAAACTTGGAGGCATAAATTCCTGCTATTCAATGCAGTAAAATTTTAGAAAATATCTGAATGTTGTCTCTGATTTAGGATAGGTTTTCCCATGCTTATTAAAAATACTTGCATGATTACTTGGTTAAACTCTGAATGTGAAAATGTATCATTGCTTAGACTTTTGTTTTGAATTGCCAAATGAGAGTTGACATTTTTTTAATAGGTCTTTAACCCTGCATCAACTTCCAAAGTGAATTTCCACCTTTAAGTCTTCAAAACTTGCATGAAGCTTTAGTTGTGCTTGGTTGACTCTTATGACTGTCTGAATTCTTTTTGTGTTGAACTCAATTTTAGTTGGACTAAACTTTCAGGCTAAAAATTAACAGGTCATCTTGTATTGCTTTAAGTATATTCAGGACCTTCTTTTTCAAAGGCCTTTGGGTGAATAATTAACTTTTTACTTGTAATTGGCCCTTTAGAAATTGAGAGGTTATCAGATTTGCAATGATATACTGGAAGGCTAGATAAATTTAGCTTAAAAGGAGACTTGCAAGGCATTGCTGTCTAGATATGTGGAAATGTAGTAGCACTTACTAGCGAGCCTTAATTGCCTTGTAATGGGTGGGCAATTATTTAGGCAGGAGCGCCACTTAACAAGTTTTGGTGAACTGTCCAGGGCTGCATAGCCTTGCTCCTTGACAGGTGCCTTGCCCCCTCATCTCCATCTTGGGACCAGAAGTCCCTCCCTTTGCCCCTAGAAATACTTGTTTTGGGAAGGGAGTTTGCAATTTGGCACCTAGGGGGAAAA